GCTGTCACATTTTCACTGCGCTCTCCGTGGTGCTGAAAATTATATTAAATTTATGTTTGTATTTTTTTGTTGCTTCCTGATGCATTTTAACTCTTTAGGCTTAGGGGGTTATTTTACAAAAAGAAAAAAGAAATTCTTTAATATTGTAACTTCTAAATGTCTGTTTCAGTGTTCATTATTGAATCAACATTTACTGCTTGTCCGATCTGCAATTGAAATAAACCTGCTAAAATCTAAAAATAGTCCTTGTGATTTTCCTTTATCATGATATCTCTGTCGGGGGCTTCAGCCTGGGAGCACTTCCTCCACCTTGTAGCATGGTGGGGTGTTTCCTCCACCGACAAGGGTGATGCTTTGTATTCCTCCAACCACCCACCCCCCTGATCAGAGCCATATGCAGGGACCAAAAAAATACTGAGGTTAAGAGTCAGAACTTCTTGGGTGCTTCAATTGCATGCTCATCCATAATGTTAATTCAGTTATTTAATACACAGTCTGTAGAAGAAAAAAGAACATTGTTATGACTTATAAAGTTGATTTAATGTATTTTTTCTTTTGAAGTCTTTATCTACAAGTGTTTAGAAATGTGTCACAAAAGACATTCCAATATAATTGAAATGAGATTTTTCACGTTTAAACTATTATGTGGATGAGTGCCTAACCTGTTCACTCTTGGTAAGGACAGCCAGCATTTGAACATATTTCTCCTATGAAAAATAATATTGTGATTTATTTTTAGTTTATATCACAATTAAAGCAAAACATTTAGAATAGAAAAAAATACAGAGGACATAACCTCTGTGTCCTAATGTGTACTTATGGCCCTGCTAATTATCCATCTTTCCAAAGAAAGGCTAGCTGATCCTTAGTAACTAGTGATGATTCCTTTCTCCACCAGTAAATGCACCAGATCAGGTTGTCACTCCACAGTATCCAGGAAGCATTTCGATCTCTTGACTAGTATCCTAAAGGCTTCCTTCGCCACACATCTACATTTGGAAAATCTGTAGTCTAACCACCAACATGCCACCCACACTTCTCTTATCTCAGCCTTTCTCAAGGAAAGAGATCATCTACCAAACAGACTCTAGAAGGAAAAATCCCACAAATTCCTGATTCTAGGATGCATTCTGAATATTTTAAAGAATATTTAATGGATTCCTAATGCTCTTACAGTGTTGTAAGTAGTACTGATACACTGGGAATGTTTTGTCACTTAAGCCGAATCTCTCAATTTATCGGTCTCTGTCTTACCTTTAATTGTATTTTACAGCAACACAAATTCGACCCAAATATCTGCAAAGTCCCTTGAATCCAAAAATGTAGCAATTTCTGGTGATTTTTATTTCAAACCCATCAAGCATTTCTTAAATTGAAATACAGATTCAAAAGACTGAGATACATCGACTTCATTTTGCATAAACATCCCTGTAGATAAAGTGTTTAGTTTTATTAAAATTTTGATGATAAAGCCTTTAGTCAGATCAGGGACTTTTCTCACCCTCAAACTTCAACCACCATGAAAAGCCACACGCGTTAAAGGCACATTGGTCTATTTTGACAGGCATCTTCATCCAGGTCAAACTCCAGCAGATTCCTCTGGCCTGTCAGGGTTAATTTCTGGAGCAGAGGCTGTGGAACTTAAATTAAAAACTGTCACTTGGGACTTTGCACTTATTTTGGTATCACTTGTTCAGCCCAGAGACAAAGAAGAAAGATTGATGAGGTGGATGTCCAGCTCTTAGAGGGGCACCCAGAAGCGTCCGCTATACATGTGTCTCTAACTGACACACATGCTCGAACTGATTTGCCAGTAATTAACCTCAGACTGTGTTAACCCTAGCTGCCCATTAGAAGGGCAAAAGGATTGATGGGGCTCGCACCAACCAGTCCTTCACAGCCTGTATGCTTTGTTCACTGTCCAAGCACTCCGAGATATGTAACCGTTTACTCTGTTGTTTTACGTTAATTGAGAGGTAATCCTAGCGACACTAGACACCCTAAATCTAATATAAGTGAATATAAACCTCCAAACATCTCCCTTCATAACCGCAAATAGAATAAAACAATACTGAGAGGGAAAAAGTAGAACATCACCAACAATGTGTCCTACTTTTTGTTGCTAATTTTACAGTCTGAACTTGTTTATTTGTTGCAGGTTTTTAAGTCCACAGTTTAAAACCAACAACAAATCTGCTGCCGAATATAGAAAATGACAAAAAGTTGAGTGTCCCTGCAGGGTATGAACTGATGCATGGACTATATGAGTGGATCCCTAAATAATCTTAGTTTTTAACAGCTACAAACCATTTTCTAGCTCTAATCCATGGTTATGGTTGTGCTTCCCCTTGGATACCAGTGGGCCTACTTAAAGGCTAAAGAAGCCTATAAAGGCTAAAGAAGCCTAGAAATCAGTCTAATATCTATTTTTCCCTCCATCTTCATCAATCATTAAGGACACTAGCATTAGACACTTAATAATGTTATAATATGACTCCTGTTTCTACATCCTCTAAATGTCCATTGAGATAGGCTACGTAACATGAATGTCCAGAACAGTGAGTAAAAGTCAGTAGAACATAAAATCTGAAAACTAATGAAGAATGTATGAAATATGCCATGTAATCCATGTTATGTTGTTTCCAAACTCTGCCAACCAGTTTTAGTTTACTATTGGCTTTGTTGCACAGCCTCATCGACATTGGCTGTGTCTCGACTAGGCCAAGCAATAGTCTTTGTCCTGTTTGCTCTGATTGATCTCCTTGTTAGAATCTAAACTGTGCACAACTGAAGTGATCTCTTGTTGTTAAGGACTGATATGGTGGAAATCAGTGCTGACAGGTTCATTTAAGCTGCCTGCTCAAACCGCTGCTTATGTAATTGGACATGGAGACATCTCAAATAAAATTCCTGGTCAGCCTGAGTTAATTTGTCTCATTTACAGCCTGCTCCCCTTTCATCCCTGACCTCTGGGTGACCTCTTTGACCCCTAGCTTTAGTGTAGAAAGTCTTGGAGGGGGATCGGGTGACCGGGTTTGCTCCGATTGAGATATCACATGTGACATTTCTTTTCCAGTCCTGCTGCAAGCGTACACCGCTGCTATTTGACCAACTTTATGAGCTGCCAGTTACCAGGTGGAGCATATGTGTTTTGATTTGTTTGCTCGGCTAATGAAAAGCAGGGGAAATTATTCTGACTTTAATTTTTTAAAGCTTTTTTTATTACATATCTCAGTTTTCAACCCATTACGGCTCAAGTAGGTCGTTAAACCCAGGATGTCGTCCATTCAAATCTGTCAGGCATTAATATTTAAAAGGTTTTATTGCCGTTCTTGTTTACTTTGTTTTTATTTTGTCAACATCTTGTGATCCATGGCTGGGATGGAACAAATGGCACAACTTCATACCCTTTTACAAAAAAACAACATAATAATGCTTGTAATAAAAAAATAATCTGTTTGATGATAAAAAGAAGTAATTTTAATTGTTTTATGGGTTTTTAAAAGTTGCAGTTGAGTTTTAGAGACTGAGGTAAGCAGGACTTTACTGAAACTTAGACTGTTAGACAGACCGAATAAGAGAAACCTGGAAAGATGATCAGGCAGAAAATAAAATGGTTTTGTGTCAAACATCGTTAGTCATTTAATGTCTGTAAACGTGAAAAGTGATATTTGGCCAACAAGTCAAGTACATTTTTATTTTCATTTAATTTCCTCTCTTCTGAGAGAACATTTTATTTTTTAAACTATAATAATGTTAAACTCCATAGAATGCAGGGAAACAACTGGTTTTAAAACCATTCGCTTGTTTTAAATATCAAGTTTTCTTTTTTATGGAAAGAGAGTGTGTGTACGTCTCTTATATGGGGAACAATTTATGCTGGAATATGGAAGGAAACCTAGCTGACAGAGGCAGCATGGTTCTTTGGGCTACATTGGATCCTGCCATTCATTTAATACCAGCTGTTGTTGCTCTGACTGTACCCTATCCCTTGGCAGGATTAAACTGCATGCCAGAGTGAAAAAAAATATTTAGGAATAAAGAGAGGGGGACTGGCTGCAGAGCTGCACTGTCAAAACCCAGAGCATTCAAGTTTATTTCAAGGCTTTCAAAGTAAAGCAATGTTAACTCGATGCTTTTAAACAACTTCCGGAATAAACTTACTTTCCTGACAGTGCAGACCCCATTTTGCAGGATTGCCACAAAGGGTCCTGACAGTGCAGGTTTGGGTCCTCCTGACAGAGCAGGTTTGGGTCCTCCTGACAGAGCAGGTTTGGGTCCTCCTGACAGAGCAGGTTTGGGTCCTCCTTACAGTGCAGGTCTGGGTCCTCCTGACAGTGCAGGTCTGGGTCCTCCTGACACTGTAGGTCTGGGTCCTCCTGACAGAGCAGGTCTGGGTCCTCCTGACACTGCAGGTTTGGGTCCTCCTGACAGAGCAGGTCTGGGTCCTCCTGACAGAGCAGGTTTGGGTCCTCCTGACAGAGCAGGTCTGGGTCCTCCTGACACTGCAGGTTTGGGGCCTCCTGACAGTGCAGGTCTGGGTCCTCCTG